ATTATGCTAAGCGAAATTAGTCAGTCAGAAAAAGCCAAGTATCCTATGACTTCACTCATATGAGGACTTTAAGACACAGAACAGATGAAGATAAGGGAAGGGAAGCAAAAATAACATAAAAACAGGGAGTGGGACAAAAACATAAGAGACTTTTAAATATGGAGAACAAACGGAGGGTTACTGGAAGGGGTGTGGGAGGGTGGATGGCCAAATGGGTAAGGGGCACTAAGGAATCTACTCCTGAAATCACTCCTGAAAGCACTATATGCTAACTAACTTGGATGAAATTTTAAAAATTAATTAAATTAAAAACAAAAAGAAAGGGAATGTGAAGAATCCTCGAGCAGCTTTACAACACACACAACTGTACCTCTTCATCATGTGAGTCCGAAATGATGCCATCGTGTCTTCTTTTTGTTTTGTTAAACACCCATTTTAAATTTATGTTTACATTTCATTTATTTGGCTTGTAATTTTGTGCCAATCATATATTTTACTAAGTCTTGCCGAAATCAAGCAATTACTCTTAAGGACATCTTGGAAAACATTCCAAAGCCCCTTGGAGAAAAGCCAGAGTGCCTGGCTCCGATTGGGTACAATGCTGCATCTGTGTTGTTAAACTGAGAAGCAAACCTAGGCCTAAGCTATGAAAATGTATCTGGAGTCTGCACCCTATGCATCTGGCTTCGCTCCAAAGGGCAAAGGCTATCTGAACAGCGATTTTCTTCCCTAGACTCCATGGTGAAAATGTCAATGGTGAAGTTCAAAGATTTTTTCCCCACTGGGTTAACCTATTAATCTGGGAATTCGGAATAATTTTATTCCGAGCATTTTATTGAGCAATCAGTCACTCTGTAGGGCTGTGGAATTTTGACTGAGTTTTTTTTCTCCCCCACAGGGTGATGCTCAAAAAGGGGAGCCTGGAGAAAGAGGCCCAGGGGTATGTATGCAAGTGGAATGCTTTCCCCAGAATGTAAACTAGGATGCTAAGTTTCTGTAAATGATCATTTTGCCCCCTGTAGTACAAGTGCCAAAATGACTTACATATACATGTGCTTTTGATGGCACAGATGGGCAGTCAGACAGACATGGCCTTGGAAATGGAAATATGGGGAGAAAATGTTCTACTCAACAGGAGTGATGATGACACAGGGTGGTCAAGCACATGACATTCTTGGATACCTAAGTGGGTTTTGTGGAAGACTCAACTCAGGAAAATATTTTTCTTTGCTTCTTGTGTTTTTTTAAAATATGTTTATTTATTTTTGAGAGAGGGGGAAGGGAAGAGAAAGAGGGAGACAGAGAATCCCAAGCAGGTTCCACATTGTCAGTGCAGAGCTGGCCGTGGGGCTCAATCTCACGAACCATGAGATCATGACTGGAGCCAAAATGAAGAGTCAGACATTTAACCAACTAAGCCACCCAGACACCTCTGTTTGTTTTTTTCCAATAAAGAATGCGTTAAAAATTCTGGGAGCACAGAACTAATAGTCTAAACTATGCTTTTGTAAATTTGATCTGCAGACAAAAGAAAAAGCATTCTAGTTGATTTATTATCTCTAAAAGTAGAAGATGTTAGAGATTGCCTGAGAAATAATTACAGAAAATTTCTTCTTTTTCATTTTTCTGGGCGTTGTAGTAAAGTTGCAAAGAGCAGAGAAGGGTGTACAGTGAATAAAAAAAAGACCATATCACATTTCTCTTCCTGGCTGTCCCCCTGGCAAAAGCCGAGGAGACAGGCCCAGAGGTTTTAAAAACTGGTCTCTTGGTGTCTTTAATCAACTTTATGAGTAAGTCTAATAGAAAGATTGATAATCAATGGAAATTCATTCAGATATGTGTGTTGTTCTTTTAGGAAGTATTTCTTAGGTGTTGTCTACATGTAAAGCATTTTATTATGTGAAAAGAAATTAAGACAAAGCACTCATATTTTTTGAAAAGTTTGTTATAGGAGAGATTAAAATATCTAAAATAGCTACAATATTGGTTGCCAAAAGGGAGTCTGGGGGCAGCAAAATGGGTGAATGGGAGTAGGAAGTATAGGCTTCCAGTTATGGAATGAATAAGTCACAGGGATGAAAGGTACCATATAAGAAATATAGTCAACAGTAATGTAAGAACATTGTATGGTGACAGATTGTAGTTACACTTTGTGATGAGCATAGCATAACGTATAGAGAAATTGAATCAGTATGTCGTAGATCTGAATCTAATGCAACATTGTATGTCAACTATACTTTAATTTTTGAAAAAAAAATAGCTACACCATGAAGCAGAATGTCAAAATACTATAAAAACTGCATGCACGAATTATTATGGGCCTTCAGAGAAGATTGAAGCTATCGGGATGGTTTTTCTAGAATGACTTCTGGAGAGTAGGGTTGTGACTGGAAAGGATAGAACAGAAAGGTGGAAGGGACAAGCATTCCAGATGGAGAGTGCCATGAGCATCGACCTGAGGGAAGGCTATGGGTTGGAAAATGGTGAGAGGAGGTGCCTAAAGAGGATGTTGGCAGACACAGCTTGAAGGGCAGAGTGGATGTTCCATGCCGACTGTAGATCTGGGCTCTGCTAGGTGAGAGACTGAGATTTCAAATGAAGGGTGCAACCCAAGAGCTGTGTACTTGGAAGATTAATCTGGCATGACTCTCAAGGGGAAACTGAAGTGGGAATAAACAGAAAAAGGAGTACTTAGAAGAAGGTTTTTTGTTACGGCCTGTCTGAGAACAGGGACATTGGCTAGGGCTGCTCCAGGCACAATGAAAGCCACTAGCCATATGTGCTTACTGAGCAGCTGAAACACGGCTAGCCTGAACTGAGGTGTGCTGTAGGAGTAAAATACACAATGAATTTGGATGACTTAGTGCCAAAGAACATGTAAAATATCTCATGAATAATTTTTATATTGGCCAAATGTTGGAAACCCTTGTATTTCAGACCTAGAGGGATCAGTAAAATATATTATTAAAAATTAATTTCACCTGTTGTCATTTTCTTAATGTGGCTATTAGGGAATTAAATCACATTCAATTGGATAGAATGGGGCCACAGTGATGACAGAATAGAGAAGAAGAGAACATTGTGAGAACCATAGAAGGCAAGAAGGATAGGCTGTGGGGACTGACACTGACTCATATAGTCAACAAATATGTATTGAGCGCTTGGTATATGCTGGGCCATTCTTTAGGTGCTGGGGATACAGTGAGCAAGATTAATAGTTCCTGTTTCATACAGTGTGCTAGCAGGGTGAGCAATCAACAGGCCAACAAATAAATGAGATTTCATCAATGAGATGTGTTCTTGACCTATAAAACCAGGTCATACGTGAGGTGCCTGGCTGGCTCAGTCGGTTAAGCATCCAACTTTGGCTTAGGTCATGATCTCACGGTTTGTGTGTTTGAGCCCTGCGTCGGACTCTGTGCTGACAGCTCGGAGCCTGGAGCCTGGAGCCTGCTTCGGATTCTGTCTCCCTCTCCCTCTGCCCCTCCCCCATGCATGATCTGTCTCTGTCCCTGTCTCTCTCTCAAGAATAAACATTTAAATAAATAAATAAATAAATAAATAAATA